CCCAGCAGCGAGCGCCGCGCAGGCCGGGCCAGTGCTGAGCCGCAGCAGGGCCCAGGGGAGTGCTCCCCTCTGCCCCCCAAGGAGGCGGTGAGCGGAGCCAGGGATTCCAGCCCACACCCCGGTCCCAGGCCAGAGAAGGCACCTGCCCGCCTCGCCAGGCCTCAGACCCGGGTGCCCGCACGTCCCAGGCACTCTGGCCACCTGCTGATCAACTGTCTCTAGGGCTGTGGCCAGTGACTGCCCAGAAGACCCAAACCACCTGTCCGTGAGCTCCCCTCGCGGGAGCAATGTCCCTGCTGCCCAGCCTGTCCTCGCCCAGAAGGTCCAGGCGCAGCCCTCCACCCCCACCCCCATCCCAGGGCCTTTAGGAGCCCTGCCCACCAGCATTACTCAGCATCTCCCCTGCCCCAGGGCACCCAGGACTGACTGCCCCCTCACCCGGCAGCCTAGGACAGGATTCAGACACCACAGATGCTGATACCCCGCCCGTCCTCGGGGTTTCAGGACGCCTCCTCCCTGCCCATCTGTGTGCACCAGGTGACAGGCATGCCTACCCAGGCTTCCACACACGTCCCAGGCATGAGCACTGCCCCGCCCGCTCAGGGAGCCAGGGAACCTGAGCACCGAGGCAGGCCTAAGCGGTACCATCCATGTCAGAGCTCCATGCTGCCATTTTTTTCTCCCCAAGGAAGGTCCCTGACCCCTTAGCCAGGAAGGAAAGGAAGCAGCCATTTGAGGCGTTTAAGGACAGAATGCCTTGCTCAGTGAAAGAGCAGGGCAGCAAGGCTGGGGTGGCTGGGGAGGTGCGGAAGCTTACCTGTCTGCTCACAGCCCGGGGAGGGGGCTCCGCCTGAGAGGCTGGGAGAAGTGGGGAAGAACTGACCAAAGGCCCCAGCCCCCTCCAGGCCATTAGCTACTTGGCAAACTGTAATCAAGATGACAACCAGCACCAATCGTGGGGGAAACTGAGGCAGCAAGAAGACAGGTCTGGCCCTAGCTGGTTTGGCTCTGTGGATAGAAGGGTTTCGGGTTCGATTCCGGTCAAGGGCACATGCCCGGGTTGTAGGCTCAATCCCTAGTGTGGGGCGTGAAGGAGGCAGCCGATCAGTGATTCTCTCTCATCATTGATGTTTCTCTCTCTCGCCCTTCCTCTGAAATCAATAAAAATATTTAAAAAGGCGGGGGGGCATCTAGCTGGTGTCTTCCCAACACCCCCCACGTCCTCACCTGCCTCAGGTCTCCCCTGCAAACGCCCCTGGGGGTTGGAGTTCTCGTAAGAGCTGATAAAACTACCAAGGACTGTCTCTAACAGGCTGTCCTGAGGTTTCACAGGCTCTCATTTAACCCTCAGAACAGCTCCTGCCAAAGCACTTCTGCTCCCCACGTCACAGAGAAGGCGGCAGCAGTTAGGTCACGTGCTCACGGTACGGCCCAGAGTTAGAGTTAGGACTGAGCCCATGCACCCCATGGGTTCTTCACCGGTTCGCAATCCACATGCACCCTGGTGTCAGCACCCCGTGCTGTGAGGCAACTGGTGTCTGCTCACTCCTTCCACTCCCCCATGCTGATGTGCGCCAGGCTGGAGCTAGACAACACAGCTCTTGCCCGGGGAGGAGGTCAAAGAGAGGGGACACTCCACCCACCTCAACACTGGTGCCCAACCCACCTGGAGCTCCGAGAGCAAAGTCCTTGGGCTGCCCCAGCCCACCCACCCTTCATCCGAGATGTCCTCAGTGATCCCCACCTCTCAGAATCAGGCACATTACCATGACAGCAGCACAGCCCCCCCTCCCTGAGAAAAGGAGTCTGCTGCCCATCCCACTCTGCAGGTGAGGGTCAAAGGTCAAGTGGGGTGGAGTCCAAGCCCCACCCCTAAACCTCCTCAGCCACACCTGTCACTGCTCCCCAAACAGGACCACTTCTTCCTGGTCCCTGTGGGGTGTGTCCTCTGGCGGTGGCTGGGGGTGCGGGGGAGTCCCCCCTCCTGAGGACCTGGAGCCCAGAGGCATGTTTGTTGTGAATTCAGGGAGTTGTTGCTAATGAGGGAGGGAGGGAGGGAGGGAGGGAGCGAGGGAAGAGGGGTGGCAGCAGAAGAGAGTGTGTGTCTCTAGGGGCCCAGGCAGAAACCACACTATGGTGGCTGGTGGCCACCCTGGCTTTGACTCTGCCAGCTGAGGCCAAAGCCGGCACCAACCCCCCACCTCCACCCCCAACCTGGGGAAGGATCCAGTTAGTTAACCAGAGCCTAAATCCCGCCATGGCCTCACCCCACTCCCCCCACTCCAGACCAGCCTCCAGGGGACTGGCTGTGAGCCCCTCCCCTGGGGGAAAGAGGATGAAGAAGGGGAGGTCAGAAGCCAGGAGGAGGGTCCCCTGACAAAAGCCCTGCAGGAGGCCCGGCTGATCAGCAAGGGGCTGTGGGAGGGGCCAGGAGCACACACCAGCAGGGGACCCCCTCAGGGCAGCTGTGTGTCTGGGCTCAGGCTCAAGGGTGTGGTCTGGGCCTGGGGCTCCCTATGGAGCAGGTCCCAGCGAGAAGCCCCAGGCCAGCAATCTCTCAGGCCAGGATCTCTGCCTCTCCTCCTCCCATAACCCCAGTCCCATCCCAACACACACAACCTCTATGAGGAAATGAAACTTCAGTCCAGCGCTTATGATAAACATGTGGAAGAGCTCTCCTTTCATAAGCGGGTCCATCTTCATTCACTCACTTATCCAACAAATATTTATTGAGCACCTGCTATGTGCCAGGTAGTGTGAGAAACATGGACACACACACAGAGAGAGAGAGAAACATGCACATACACAGAGAGAAACATGGACACACACACAGAGAGAGAGAGAAACATGCACATACACAGAGAGAAACATGGACACACACACAGAGAGAGAGAGAAACATGCACATACACAGAGAGAAACATGGACACACACACAGAGAGAGAGAGAAACATGCACATACACAGAGAGAAACATGGACACACACACAGAGAGAGAGAGAAACATGCACATACACAGAGAGAAACATGGACACACACACAGAGAGAGAGAGAAACATGCACATACACAGAGAGAAACATGGACACACACACAGAGAGAGAGAGAAACATGCACATACACAGAGAGAAACATGGACACACACACAGAGAGAGAGAGAAACATGCACATACACAGAGAGAAACATGGACACACACACAGAGAGAGAGAGAAACATGCACATACACAGAGAGAAACATGGACACACACACACAGAAACATGCACACACACACACACACACACAGCCGCAGCTCCAGGAAGTCCCTGAGCTCCTGAGACACCCCCTCCCATGTCTGTGAATTGGCTGGGAGCCAGGACAGCCAGCTCCGCTGACACACTGCTCCCCTCCCTGTCCTAGAAGCTGGGAAGATGCCTAGAGGTCCCTGGGAGTTCTGCCAGGAGAGGGGACAGGCAGACAGCTCCCACCGGCCGGGCCTGAGGGCTGGAAGGAGAAAGGGAGGGGTGGGGAGGCGGAGGACCCCAGGGTCTGGCTCCAGTCACCCCCAGGGTGATCCTGTGTCAAGGGAAAGGGTGAGGTGGGTCCCCTGTCCTTGTGAGGTCTCCTTGACGACATCCCTTCTCCCCTGAAGATGCAAAATCCTGGGGACCAGGCCTGGCCAGGAGGGCCTGGGGTCAGGACGTGGGGCTGGGCAGCTTCCACAGGCAGGCGGGAGGGAGGCTGGTGGCTGGGCTCAGTTTGTACTGGGGGTCAAAGGGGAGTTCTTTTCCAAAGAATTCTGGGAGAGAGGCCAACTAGAGCAAGCTGCTAAACCA